GTCATTGAAAGGTTTGTGTAAGTTGTAATAGTAATAGTCCGCTTATATGGCGCTCATATCCAGGCACATTGCCTGCTCATGGGGCTATGTACATTATTATCCCCGGTCATAGGACACTATCGTACTTTCCGATACTTTTTCAACTCCCTGGGGATCATATTGCCATGCTGCCTGTCAGCGGCAATGAACTATGTAACACTCACATGTGCCCACCTTGGGACCCGAACCTAGGTGCCTCCACCAGGGATCGACCTGGGTCTTCAGCATGATAGGCAGACACTATCGTACTTTCCGATACTTTTTCAACTCCCTGGGGAACATATTGCCATGCTGCCTGTCAGCGGCAATGAACAATGTAACACTCACATGTGCCCACCTCAGGACCCGAACCTAGGTGCCTCCACCAGGGATCGACCTGGGTCTTCAGCATGATAGGCAGACACTATCGTACTTTCCGATACTTTTTCAACTCCCTGGGGAACATATTGCCATGCTGCCTGTCAGCGGCAATGAACTATGTAACACTCACATGTGCCCACCTCGGGACCCGAACCTAGGTGCCTCCACCAGGGATCGACCTGGGTCTTCAGCATGATAGGCAGACACTATCGTACTTTCCGATACTTTTTCAACTCCCTGGGGATCATATTGCCATGCTGCCTGTCAGCGGCAATGAACTATGTAACACTCACATGTGCCCACCTCGGGACCCGAACCTAGGTGCCTCCACCAGGGATCGACTCGGGTCTTCAGCATGATAGGCAGACACCTTTCCACTGCACTATAGCGCTCCACAAATTTAACATTAAACAACTGCGGCACAACTTCCAGTGAGTGTATGCATGATGTTCGATGCTGTATTGTTTTTATCGGATGATCTTAATTATTTTATGATGGCCTCAGTCATTTTGTGTTAGCTCCGTGGCTTTCCTCCCTCACCGGAGAGAGTTGCGGAATCTCCTCCAGTGGTTTAACCATTGGAAACACTACCTGTTGGGGGGAGGCTTTGGTTCTTTTCTCAGAGAATGGACGTTTTAGACGACCCATATGTTCAACGACTTTTGACATGGGCCTATACCCCTTGCCTAGACAAGATTCCGCCGTTAACATCATTCCTGTTGTCATTGGTAGAGAAGGAGGCCGCCTCGGACCCTCAGTCACCCGGCTTTTACTCCCCTATCTTCCTAGTTCCGAAGAACATTTCGTCTATCAATGCATTCATTCACCAATGGGTAGCCCTGCCATTTGGAATTTCCACGGCCCCGTACATTTTCAATCGAATTATGAAACCTGTCGTGGATTTTCTCTATCGTCAAGCTATCAGGGTAGCCTTCTACCTGCTCACCTAGGGTGGATCATTAACCTCCAGAAGTCTTATCCCCTACCCAGGATCTGACATATGTGGGCATTTGATTCAGGACGGCACTCAATCTGGTCAAGATCGAGGGGACAAGATTGTTGCCTGCATTCCCGACCTTCTGCATGCGCCATCGATGGCGCATCGTTGGCAGGAGGTTCTGGGGCTGTTGATTTCAGCACAGGATCTCACTTCTCCCAGTCGACTCCACCTTTGTCCCCTGCAGAGGTTTCTTTACCCACATCTACTGTTTCCCGATCGGCTGCTTCACTTGCCACTCCATCTCCGTCGTCATCTGGAGTGGTGGCTCCTGTCGTTGAACGTTTGTGAAGACGTCTCTATGAGCGTGCCTCCGTTTCAGTCTCATCTCTTAGTTGACGCCTCCCTTGAGGCCTGGGGAGCTCATTTCTACGACGATCAGGTCTCTGGGCATTGGTTACCAGACGAACGGGTTCGTCACATCAGTTGTCTCAAATTGGAAGCAGTCATTCGGGCCATTCGACATTGGGAACGTCGCCTCGCCTCTTCGGCAGACAGTTGAGAATACAGTCGGACAACGCGACTGGGATCGACTCAGTCATCTGCTCTCCTCGACCTCACGTTCGAGTTCTTCGCCCTCTTCGACGCCTTACACATGGAGGCCCGGGCCCGTCACATTCCCGGGGCCAAAAACGTGGTTGCCAACGCTCTCTCTCGCCCATCTCGTCCCTCTCCCATGGAGTGGATGCTTAATCCAATCACCTTTCGCCTTTTGACAGAGTATTTCTAGATTCCACAGGTGGATCTGTTTGCGACACGGCAAAACAATCGTCTTCCTCACTTCGTGTCTCCTGTCCCGGATCAGCTGGCTTGGGACCACAACGCCCTGGTGATATCTTGGGATATACGCATTCCCTCCGACCGTCCTGTTACCTTTGATCTGGGGAAGATTAAACAGACCAATCGACTTTGTCTGTTTTTGGTCGTGCTTTATTGGCCAGCCAGGACGTGGTTCCCGGAATTGCTATGCGTCGTCTATCGGCCTCCACTCGCTCTCCCATTCCGGGAGGATCTTCTGTTGAATCCACACAGCACCGCGCCGCATGTGGGGTTACACAACTTCCAACTTCACGGGTGGGATTGCTCAAAGCCTCGTTGATCAAGAAGGGTTACTTGGCTAAGGCTGCCGTGCTTATCTCCTCTGCTCATCGTGTCACGACTCGTAAACTGTATGATGATAAGTGGGTTGCCTTCTCCACTTTCGCTGAGAAGCAGGGGTTAAAATGTTCTGTCTTCTGCTACACCTCCACTGGTGGCCGATTTCTTAGTCCCCCTCAGGCCATCCAGGTGTCTCAAGGGTTCGACCATCTTGACCTATTTGGCTGCAATCAGTTCAGTTGTGTCATCGGATTCGGGTAACAAGCTCACGAATGTGCCTGCCCTTCAAAAAATCCTTCAGGCTTGTTCTGTGGAAGATCAAGTTTGTAAATTCTCTAGCCAAGGATCAGCTTCCTGGCCAAGAAGCTAGAATGTTTCACATTCCTCCACTTTCCGCCATTCTTGGTTCTCAAGATCATGTTGACTTGTCCCTTTGTCAGGTGCATGCGTTACGCATTTACCTTCAACGTTCTGAATGACATCGAAAGAATTTTCGTTGTTTGTTCATATCATTATCTCCAACTTCCAAGCCAGAGATCACCAGGAATACTCTTTCTTCCTGGTTACGGGCTGTGATTCTCCGTGCCTATGCTGCGCAGAATATGGATCTACCGTCCTCTTCCCACCCTCACGAGGTTTTGGCGCTTGCATCGACATTAGCCCTCCATGGTAACTGCTCCCTACAGGCTATTATGGAGGCTGCTTTTGGAAATCAACCTCGGTTTTCGACCCTCACTATTTGCGGGATATCTCGATGGCAGATATTGCAGGCATCCAGCAATTTGGGCCACTAGTTGTCACACAACAACTTCCCACCGCCCGTCGTCAGTGACTCTTGACTTTCTGTATCTCGACTTCGTTTATTTTCCACAATAAAAGTGACTCACTCTTGTTCTTTATTGCCAGGCAGTATTCCTATCCCATGTTTTCCTTCACCGCTTGTTGTGGTTTAGTTCACTTGGTCACTGATCCCGCAGGACGTTGTTGCCTGGTATACTGCACATGCTATATCTTTGTCGTTCTTAACGATGTTCTGTCGTTGATATTTACATCCTCGATCATTCCTCGTTTTTGTCACTCTTCTACAGCTTTTGGCCTCAGACTCTGGATAGATTGGTGACAGCGAAGTGGAGGTAATTGCACAGGTGGGGTAGTTTTGTGTTTACACGTCGTTTCCTCTCGACTTATGGTAGGTAGCTTAACAGGTAGGTATAAGCATTAGTACGTCTGAATGTAAGCTTGTTAAAACAATATTTTTAATAAAAAAGACCCATATTCTAATGCTGTCAGGTGGAACAGCTGACAATCATGGTCTCATCAACTACCGAGGTTGATAAACCCTGACTCCCACTCTTGATGGGTCGGTGATTAGGACAACAGTTCAATTTATAGGCTTCTTCATCAGTACATATGCTCTTATAAACTAATAAGATATTGTGTGCATGCAAATAGTTTTGGGGTAAGTTTCTACAGTTGCAACTGGTCAAACTTTTTGTGCCAAACTACGAGCTGTCTCCAGTGACCAACATTCACTTCCACAAACTCTGCATACATTAATAAACCATTCTTCAAAAGCTTTAAATAACAGTTCAAGCTTGTTTTGAAGATGCACTTCAAAGGACTTTCACTGAGGAGTTTTATTCCAACTGATTCAATAATATAATCTCATTCTATGACAAGCATCAAACGCAACAAATTTGGATATTCTACATCTTCACATCGTTTTTGGCGTTCCGAGTAAATCTGTGTTGTGTAATGATTAACGTCACCACTTTCTTACAGTGGTTCGCGTCATCATAACCTATCTTCCGATACTTTGATTTATGCTGTGCCAATTCACATCTGTATTTAGAGAATGTCAGTGAAACACCTTATTTCGATAAGTCCTCTCAAAAAGCTTCCACTGGCAGATTTATAGATATACTTGTGGAAGTGAATAAGGGAACACATGAAAGTACAAGTGTTCCTTTATTCTTTTCCAGGTTTCTTCACAAGGTATGAATTGCACTGTTAGTGAAATTCTGGGAATAAATAGAGGAACACTTCTACTTTCATGTGTTCCCGTATTCGTTTCCATGAGTATAGTTGAAATCTGTTTTCAGTTAATAAGGCTACAGTCGGTACGTTTTACCCACATACATTGCAATACATTATAAGTTGTTCACTGATCTCGAGGGGGACATGGGTTGATGTACCCTCGATGTTTGTTTATGTTCCCTGAGCCCGAAGGGGAACATGAAGAAACATTAAGGGTACATCAACCCATGGGCCCCAAGGGACCAGTGGACAGTATTTATCTTACCAAACACCTCAGTGGTTATTTTGAACTGTTTGAAGCACGGGTATCAAATCATAGTATGGAGTACAAGACGACAAGAAAAACAGATTATAGTTATCTCCCTTCCATCGATTTGCATTCGCAAAACATCGGTAATTTCGGTAATAACATGATTCAATGTTATTCAAGATAAAGAATTACTACTACAAAGTACCAAATGAGTTCGGCATTCCCAGCGGTGTACATAGCAAATGTTACTCGCTTGTAAGCAGGCTACATTGGAAATAATAGAAGAGCCCTCAGCCAATCAGAAAACGACATTTATGTGTGAGGCAAGATAAATGTACCTATGTAGCTATACAGCTTTTCAAAGGAGAAACTAATTACTAATATTAGTGTTCTTATGATCGATTTGGATACAATTACTAATACACATCACACTTATTGGTTGTCATCATACTTCTGTGTTTCTGTTTAACACACAGTTATTAGCAAGTCTAATACTGTTTATATTATGTTCTGATCTTGGAGATTGAATCATATAATATGTTGTATGCAAGCAGTGTTAACATAACTGTAACAACTGTTTCACCAATCCCCTATTCATTTATTGAATAAAATATGTTTAAATGAAGAAGATACCATGTTTATGCTTTTGATGACCTGTTGAAACGTCTATGGTATACATACCATAATATGCAGAAATGTTAAAACTCATTTTGATGATGATTTTAAGGGGGGTCACCCATTTTGTGCTGGGGAGGTAGAGGGTCTCAATGTTTACTAAAGATGGGGGGCATAATTGATTTTTTACATGACACTGACTGAGCTTAGTTTTACGCCGCTTTTAGCAATATTCCAGCAATATCACGGCGGGGGACACCAGAAATGGGCTTCACACATTGTGCCCATGTGGGGAATCAAACCCGGGTCTTCGGCGTGACGAGCCAACGCTTTAACCACTAGGCTACCTCGCCACCTCTTGTACATGACAAGCAAAGGGGGGGAGGGTCACTTACTTTGTACATAGATTTTAGGGAGGGTCATTCACATTGTACATGCTTCTCCATAAAATCATCATCGCCACCTAGCCATAAATTATGAACGGTTCCTAAGGCCTCAGTTGATAATTGACCCCAAAATACATGCCTATACATTGTTTGTGTTGATGTCAGAAAGTTGTGGTAAATTATTACTCACTCACTCACTCACTCATGTCTTAATGCACTTCGGGTTATCTTCATCTGATTGATGCCAATGTAAATATAGTGTATTTATTGGAGCTTGCTTTTTGTTGACAGGTCAGTGCTCCACCTTACGATGTTGGCAGTGCCATACCTCACCGAAACCAAGGGCAACATTGTCAACGTCTCCAGTGTCAATGGCATGAGATCGGTATGTACTATCTAAGATCTAACCTAAACCCTTTACATGATACAGCATACCCAACAAACTGACTCCATGGTGTTGTGTAGTCTTCAGCAATCTTCCATCTATATGATAGCAGTCTGTATAACTCAAGTCTATAAAAATATCTAACAGTGGAGTGAGTGAGTTGAGTTTTACGCCACACTCAGCAATATTCCAGCTATATGGCAGCGGTCTGTAAATAATCAAGTCTGGACCAGACAATTAAGTCATCAACATCATGAGCATCGATCTTCGCAACTGGGACAGGTGTCAACCAATTCAGCGAGCCTGACCATCTGATCCATTGTCAAGGCCACAAGCATGAATTGCAGGAGACCAGTTGGGACAGGATTAGGGATCAGAGGATTAACTCCCAAATCCATTAATTCACATCAAGGATTATTTCAAATTCCTAAGGGGCAGTGGGGTAGCTTAGTGGCTAAAGCGTTTGCTTGTCACGCCAAAGACCTGGGTTCAAGTCCCCACATGGGTACAACATGTGAAGCCTATTTCTGGTGTCCCCCCGCCATGATATTGCTTCAATATTGCTAAAAGCGGCATAAAAATAAACTCACTCACTCAAATAAATATATTTGCTATAAGCATTACTAATTGATAATGACTGAAATGTTAACCATCCTCAATCAATTAGTCACTCTAAGCCAGTGTTTGCCCTTATTCCTGAAAAACTGCAGGCCCTTAAAGGACCCAGAACCATAAAAAGTTGTGGGTCCTGATCAGAATGTGTAGGCCCTATATTCTAGCTACAACATAAGTAATTCCAAGCAAACAAGAAATGTGACAACTAACAAAGTGAGTTAAAGAGTTTAATGTTACTCTAGTGACTGACTAGTCTTCATTTACAACTAGAAATTATCGAATGATATGTTCTGAAAAATAATACTCGTAGTTATTGGGGATGAAAAACCTGTCAGCCATAAGGACCTGCAGAAAACAAAAGCTGTGGGTCCGAGTGGTTTTCAGTCAGCTTCGGGCCTAAGGGCCGACATTAATTTCGAATGCTGCTCTAATGTTGTGGTGACACTCACCTGTTATTACTGTGATACTTGTTCAAACTTACTTTTCTGCCATTTGGGAGTTTCAGTAAGAAAACATTCAGCAAACTAAATGCATTCTTTGGGAGCAAAGACATTCTATTTCAAGGTTTTTCAAACATATCAGACCAGTGAAGATCCGGGGTAGAATAGGTCTTCAGCAACCCATGCTTGCCGCAAAGGCGACTATGCTTGTCGTAAGAGGCGACTAACGGGATCGGGTGGTCAGGCTCGCTGACTTGGTTGACACATGTCATTGGTTCCCAATTGAGCAGATCAATGCTCATGCTGTTGATCACTGGATTGTCTGGTCCTGTCTCGATTATTTACAGACCACTGCCATATAGCTGGAATATTGCTGAGTGTGGCGTAAAACATATCAGTAAGATGTTTCGTTTAAATGAATTAGTATATATTATAATGTTTTATAACAGAAATCATTACCTAATTACTTACTGACCATCAAAACACCTGCCTACAATGCAATTCACTCACTCATGCCATGGTGTGCCATGTTTGTTTGTACAAGGAGGTGATAATGTTGATAATGCTGGTACCTTGTCTTAGTTTCCAGGTGTCCTGGCCTATAACATGTCAAAGAGTGCCATTGACCATTTCACCAGATGTGTGGCTTTAGGTGAGTTGTATGATGTTTATATGTACTGACAGATGGTTCCAACTATCCCCTCTATCCATCAATCATCCTCAACTATCCCATTCTAGCCATCAACCATCGTAATGTTCCACCTCCCTCTATCCATCAACTATCCTTTACTCTCCATCTCCCTCTATCCATCAACTGTTCCAATGCTCCATCTCCCTCTGTTCGTCAACTATCCTCCATCTCCCTCTGTTCATTAACAATCCTCCATTCTCGGTCTCCCTCTATCCATCAACCATCCTCCATTCTCCATCTCCCTCTATCCATCAACCATCCTCCATCTCCCTCTATCCCTCAACCATCCTCCATCTCCCTCTATCCACCAACCATCCTCCATTCTCCATCTCCCTCTATCCATCAACCATCCTCCATTCTCCATCTCCCTCTATCCCTCAACCATCCTCCATCCTCTATCCATCAACCATCCTCCATTCTCCATCTCCCTCTATCCATCAACCATCCTCCATTCTCCATCTCCCTCCTATCCTTCAATCCATCAACCATCAATCCATCCTCCATCAACCATCCTCCATCTCCTCCCTCTATCCATCAACCATCCTCCATCTCCCTCTGATAATCCATCAACAATCCTCCATTCTCCATCTCCCTCTATCCATCAACCATCCCATCCTCTTAGATAATCATCAACAATCTCCATTTCCCTCTATCCATCCATCCATCTCCCTCTCTCCATCCATCCATTCCTCTATCCATCAACCATCCCATTCTCCATCTCTCCTCATCCATCTCATCCTCCCTCCCTCCATCAACAATCCTCCATTCTCCATCTCCCTCTATCCATCAACCATCCTCATCTCCCTCTTAGATAATCTATTAACAATCCTCCATTCTCCATTTCCCTCTATCCATCAACCATCCTCATCTCCCTCTTAGATAATCCATCAACAATCCTCACTCTCCATCTCCCTCTATCCATCAACCATCCTCATCTCCCTCTTAGATAATCCATCAACAATCCTCCATTCTCCATCTCCCTCTATCCATCAACCATCCTCATCTCCCTCTTAGATAATCCATCTACAATCCTCCATTCTCCATTTCCCTCTATCCATCAACCATCCTCATCTCCCTCTTAGATAATCCATCCTCCACTCTCCATCTCCTCTATCCATCAACCATCCTATCTCCCTCTTAGATAATCCATCAACAATCCTCCATTCTCCATCTCCCTCTATCCATCAACCATCCTCATCTCCCTCTTTGATATTCCATCTACAATCCTCCATTCTCTATCCTCTGTCCATCAACCATCCTCATCTCCCTCTTAGATGATCCATCAACAATCCTCCATTCTCTCTATCCATCAACCATCCTCCATTCTCCATCTCCCTCTATCCATCAACCATCCTCCATCTGCTTCCCTCTATCCATCAACCATCCTCATCTCCCTCTTCATAACATCATCAATCCTCCACTCTCCATTCTCTTTATCCATCAACCATCCTCTCCATCTCTTAGAGAATCCATCCATCCTCATTCTATTTCCCTCTATCCATCAACAATCCTCCATTCTCCATCTCCCTCCATCCATCAACCATCCTCCACTCTCTATCTCTATCCATCAACCAACCATTAGATAATCCTCTATCCATCAGCCATCTTCATCTCCCTCTTGAGAATCAATCCTCTCGCTCTCTATTTCCATCTATCCGTCTACTTCTCCATTTCCCTCTATCCATCAACCATCCTCCATTCTCCATCTCCCTCTATCCATCAACCATCCTCATCTCCCTCTTAGATAATCCATCCAACAATCCTCCAGTCTCCATCTTATCCTCTATCCATCAACCATCCTCATCTCCCTCTTAGATAATCCATCAATGATCCTCTCATTCTCCTCTATCCATCCCATCTCATCCCTCTTGGATCAATCCATCTACAATCCTCCATTCTCCCTCCTCTATCCATCATCCATCCTCAATCCTCTTTGATGTTCCATCTACAATCCTCCATCTCCCTCTATCCATCAACCATCCTCATCTCCCTCTTAGATAATCCATCAACAATCCTCCACTCTCCATCTCCCTCTATCCATCAACCATCCTCATCTCCCTCTTAGATAATCCATCTACAATCCTCCATTCTCCATCTCCCTCTATCCATCAACCATCCTCATCTCCCTCTTTGATATTCCATCTACAATCCTCCATTCTCTATTTCCCTCTGTCCATCAACCATCCTCATCTCCCTCTTAGATAATCCATCAACAATCCTCCATTCTCCATCTCCCTCTACCCATCAACCATCCTCCATTCTCCATCTCCCTCTATCATCAACAATCCTCCACTGTCCTTTTCCCTCTATCCATCAACCATCCTCATCTCCCTCTTAGATAATCCATCAACAATCCTCCATTCTCCATCTCCCTCTATCCATCAACCATCCTCATCTCCCTCTTAGAGAATCTATTAACAATCCTCCACTCTCTATTTCACTCTATCCATCAACCATCCTCCATTCTCCATTTCCCTCCATCCATCAACCATCCTCCATTCTCCATCTCCCTCTATCCATCAACCATCCTCATCTCCCTCTTAGATAATCTATCAACAATCCCCACTCTCTATTTCCCTCTATCCATCAACCATCTTCATCTCCCTCAGACCATCTATTAACAATCTCCCTCTTAGTTCACTAATCCATCAACACCATCCTCCATTCTCATTTCCCTCCATCCATCAGCCATCCTCCATCCATCATCCATCCATCCTCATCTCCTCTTAGATAATCCATCAACAATCCTCCATTCTCCATCTCAATCTATCCATCAACCATCTCATTCTCCATCTATTAACAATCCTCCACTCTCTATTTCACTCTATCCATCAACCATCCTCATCTCCCTCTTAGATAATCCATCAACAATCCTCCACTCTCCATTTCCCTCTATCCATCAACCATCCTCATCTCCCTCTTAGAGAATCCATCAACAATCCTCCACTCTCTATTTCCCTCTATCCATCAACCACCCTCATCTCCGTCTTAGATAATCTATCAACAATCCTCCTCTCTCCATTTCCCTATATACATCAACAATCCTACATCTCCCTCTTAGAATATCTATCAAGAATCATCCACTCTCCATTTCCCTCTATCCATCAACCATCCTCATCTCCCTCTTAGATAATCTATCAACAATCCTCCACTGTCCATTTCCCTCTATAATCCATCAACCATCCTCCACACTTCATTTCCCCTCTGAGCATCAGTCGTTCCCTGCTTTCATCACACTATCTTTAATCATCATCCCCGTCACCCCTACTTATTTCACAGCAGATGCATTCCCAAACTCTCCTTCTCTCTATCTATAAGCTATTCCTACACTTCTCTATTTCCTAATAATATCTTCATCAAGTTACAACATACCTAGTTTTCAGTAGCATACAAATGTTTTCTAATGATAAAATTTTACAAATAACATATAACTCCTACATTTTAAAATTGTTGATTTAGTATGGCAAGATTAGTATAAAAGTAAACTAAATGTATTTACTCTACTTTCATGTATTTTTCATACAATTCCACTATTAGAGACCCGTGAAGATCCGGGTTAGAATTGCTCTTCAGTAACCCATGCTTGCCGTACTAGACGACTAACGGGATTGGGTTGCCAGGCTTGCTGACTTGGTTGACACATGTCATTGTATCCCAGTTGCGTAGATCGATGTTCATGCTGTTGATCCCTGGATTGTCTGGTCAAGACCCGATTATTTACAGACTGCCACCATATAGCTGGAATATTGCTGAGTGTGGCGTAAAACTAAACTCACTCACTCACATGTCATCGCATCACAAATGCTTGGATTGATCCTTATTATGTTAGTGTGTTGTCGGGTCCAAATTCAATTATATATAGACTGCCGTTGTAGCAGGCCATTACTTTCCCGCCTGTTTAAACTAGGATATTTTGTTCTGTTTTCTATGAAAAGCTGGGTGATTCTGGCCTACCCATGCTACTTCTTCCCCACCCTTGCTCTTATATCAAAAGTGGGAGATTCTGGCCTACCCATGCTACTTCTTCCCCACCCTTGCTCTTATATCAAAAGTTGGAGATTCTGGCCTAGCCATGCTACTTCTTCCCCACCCTTGCTCTTATATCAAAAGTTGGAGATTCTGGCCTACCCATGCTACTTCTTCCCCACCCTTGCTCTTATATCAAAAGTTGGAGATTCTGGCCTACCCATGCTACTTCTTCCCCACCCTTGCTCTTATATCAAAAGTTGGAGATTCTGGCCTACCCATGCTACTTCTTCCCCACCCTTGCTCTTATATCAAAAGTGGGAGATTCTGGCCTACCCATGCTACTTCTTCCCCACCCTTGCTCTTATATCAAAAGTGGGAGATTCTGGCCTAGCCAGGCTACTTCTTCCTCACCCTTGCCCCTAAATTAAAGAGGGAGATTCTGGCCTAGCCAGGCTACTTCTTCCCCACCATTGCTCTTCTATCAAAAGTGGGAGATTCTGGCCTAGCCAGGGTAGTTCTTCCCCACCATTGCTCTTCTATCAAAAGTGGGAGATTCTGGCCTAGCCAGGCTACTTCTTCCCCACCCTTGCTCTTATATCAAAAGTGGGAGATTCTGGCCTACCCATGCTACTTCTTCCCCACCCTTGCTCTTATATCAAAAGTGGGAGATTCTGGCCTACCCATGCTACTTCTTCCCAACCCTTGCTCTTATATCAAAAGTGGGAGATTCTGGCCTAGCCAGGCTACTTCTTCCCCACCCTTGCTCTTCTATCAAAAGTGGGAGATTCTGGCCTAGCTAGGGTAGTTCTTCCCCACCATTGCTCTTCTATCAAAAGGGGGAGATTCTGGCCTAGCCAGGGTAGTTCTTCCCCACCATTGCTCTTCTATCAAAAGGGGGTGATTCTGGCCTAGCCAGGGTAGTTCTTCCCCACCATTGCTCTTCTATCAAAAGTGGGAGATTCTGGCCTAGCCAGGGTAGTTCTTCCCCACCATTGCTCTTCTATCAAAAGTGGGAGATTCTGGCCTAGCCAGGCTACTTCTTCCCCACCATTGCTCTTCTATCAAAAGTGGGAGATTCTGGCCTAGCCAGGGTAGTTCTTCCCCACCATTGCTCTTATATCAAAGGGAGATTCTGGCCTAGCCAGGGTAGTTCTTCCCCACCATTGCTCTTCTATCAAAAGGGGAGATTCTGTCCTAGCCAGGGTAGTTCTTCCCCACCCTTGCTCTTATATCAAAAGTGGGAGATTCTGGCCTAGCCAGGCTAGTTCTTCCCCACCATTGCTCTTCTATCAAAAGGGGGAGATTCTGGCCTAGCTAGGCTACTTCTTCCCCACCATTGTTCTTATATCAAAAGTGGGGAGATTCTGGCCTAGCCAGGCTACTTCTTCCCCACCATTGCTCTTATATCAAAAGTGGGAGATTCTGGCCTAGCTAGGCCACTTTTTCCCCACCATTGCTCTTCTATCAAAAGGGGGTGATTCTGGCCTAGCTAGGCTACTTTTTCCCCACCATTGCTCTTATATCAAAAGGGGGAGATTCTGGCCTAGCTAGGCTACTTCTTCCCCACCATTGCTCTTATATCAAAAGGGGAGATTCTGGCCTAGCTAGGCTACTTTTTCCCCACCATTGCTCTTATATCAAAAGGGGAGATTCTGGCCTAGCTAGGCTACTTCTTCCCCACCATTGTTCTTATATCAAAAGGGGTGATTCTGGCCTAGCTTGGCTACTTTTCCCCACCATTGCTCTTATATCAAAAGTGGGAGATTCTGGCCTAGCTGATACTATTTTGCCCCACCATTTGCTCATATATTGTTGTTGGGAGATTCTGGCCTAGCTTAGTTAAGTTCTTCCCCACCCTTGCTCTTATATCAAAAGTGGGTGAAAACATTTTGAATGGATATGGACATCCAAGTAAACACTGGGTATTTAGTTAAAGTTTTGAATATAGTAATGATTTTGACATATCCCCAATATTGAGTAAGTGGGGATAAGTAAATTATTGAAATATAAAAATAAGTAAATGATAATATAAAACAATAGTAATGATATAATATCTTTGCTTTTATGCTTGCTTTTCTTTTTAATCTCATCTTATAGAAGGGTATTGAAACAAAATGGGAACCAGTATATGAAGATTGAGATGACCTGTAAATTGTTAATGGAACTTGACATCAACATGAATATCTTATCAATGTGTTCACGTGAATAGCTATGTCTTGTTTTCAATTCTGACTTTTTCAAGACAAACATAAACATGAAAACAAGGTTGGAGAAGAAATAGCCTAGCTAGGCCAGAATCTCCCCCTTTTGATATAAGAACAAGGATGGGAAACAAGTAGCCTTTAAAGTTGATTCAAGGGTGGGGAAAATTAAGCCTAGGGGGGAAAGTTTGGCCTAGGCTAAAGTTTCCCCAGGAAAGTTTGTCCTAGGCCAAAGTTTCCCCAGGGAAGGTTTGGCCAGGGGGAAAGTTTGGCCGGTTACACCTTCACATTGATACAATATTGCTGAATTATTTGTTAAGCAACCAGTAATCAAAAGAAAGCTTTATTCAAGACCTACAGGGGTAGAATTCCATGCATGTGGTACGAAACTTTGAATGAGTTTAAAGTGGGGAAAATCTGAATATGCAAGCGTACTCTTAATGTCAACCACTAGCTGATACCGATATTTACAATCATTTTTTGTCCAAACACCGGTTCCGTCCAACTCTCACTCCATTCCTGGCAAACGTTTTAACCTGAATGTGTGGAACTGGGTTAAAACGTTTCCTAACAAATCAACTACTATATACTTTTAAAATTTCAACATAGTACAAATTAGAATTTTTAACGAGTATAATGGCCTTGACATGATACGGCATGAAATATTCAAAGACAGGACAACTATGCTTTGTGATGAAGATTAATTGTTTTATATAATGAATATAGATGTTTTACAAAAAGAATTAGCAACTGCACTTTTTAAAATGTTTAAAAGACATCAAATGGCAGAATAATGTTAATTTTGTAATATATATCTAATTTATTCTTATTTATGCTTTTTCATTTTCTTTTTGGACCTAATTATTTGATTATTTAATGATTACGTGTGTATTTTAAGAATCTACTGTTATTCCTTTTCTTTCTCTGTTGTTGTTTTATCGAGGAGTCTGCTGTTATCAGTGTGACTTATCTACAATCTTAAATTATTATCTCCACGTAAGAATATTGATCTTCAGGTAACCCATGCGACTAACGGGATCAGGTGGTCAGGCTCGCTGACTTGGTTGACACTTGATCGGTTCCCAGTTGCGTAGATCGATGCTCATGCTGTTGATCACTGGATTGTCTGGTCCAGACTCGATTATTTACAGACCGCCGCCATATAACTGGAATATTGCTGAGTGCGTCGTAAAACTAAACTCACTCACTAACTATTCTATTATGTGTGTACCATTAATCTAGTTATAATGTATTTATAGTGTATCGTAAGCCCATGTATGGCTTGACGCACTTCCTTTAAAATGTTTTATGCGATTCTGTATTTTAATTATGGGTGGGTATTGCAGAGAATTTTCATATTGCGATATATTGCGATGCGAAAGCATATATTGCGATATGTATTGCAATATATTGCAAGAAGTATTTTTAAACAAAAACTACTTATAATCGAGTTAAAGCTTGATTTATAGAGCATAAACACAACAAAATAACAATGCTTGATTAAGCTTTAACAACAACCTTTAATCATGACAAAATAGAAAAGTAAATAATATTTGGCACAAATGAAACACGGAAATATCCGAAGATTTCCGAGTGTTGTGAAGTTTTCCGAATGCGTGTCAAAATAACGATTTTTGATCAGCGTATCGCAATACGTATCGTTTTTATGTCTGAACCGGTAAATACCGGTAAACCGGTTATATTGTGCAGCCCTAATTTTAATGTAAATGTTGTGAGTGTGACACTTTAATAAAATCTTACTACAACTATGCTGAGTAAAGGGATTAAGTGACCAGTCTTGTACTCAAATTAAGTTAAATCTGTAACTTTAATGACACAGTCAGGGGAGAAGTGATGTCAACAGTGTAAACATCAGATTCAGTCAATACCGTACCATTAATCGTCAGTCACACGATCGTACATGTGCATGATGTATCGTCTCAGACTGAGGTGTGATTACAGTGCAGGACGTTGCAGACAAATCACGATTGTTGTTGTCACAGTATTGAATAGCACTGGGCAGATATATGGCTTGATCTTGTAAGACTTGGTTGTTTGTTGTTTAACGCCGCACTCAGCAATATTCCAGCTGTATGGCGGCGGTCTGTAAATAATCGAGTCTGGACCAGACAGTCCAGTGATTGAAATCATGAGCATCAATCTACCCAACTGAGATACGATGACGTGTCCACCAAGTCAGCGAGTCTGACCACCTGATCCCCTTAGTCGCCTCTTACAACAAGCATGGAATATATTGGGTCCCATTCCACAAAGCGATCGCGGCGCTAAGATAGTCGTAACTCCCATACTTTAACATAGATTTATGACTGTCATAGCGCGCTTCTAACGCGCTTTGAGGATCTTGGCACTGGCTTACTGAGGAATACCTGGATCAGATGTGTCTAAACACAAATAATGTCATATGATGCATAAATATCCATATTGCAAATTCTTCTATTTTTAATTCATATTTTTATAAAGAAGTTTTAGATAACATCTATTATATTGTCAGCTTGCTGTCCCTTGATGGCTAGGTCAGGTAATATAACGTCAAGTTAGATATGTTAAACCCTATATTAGTCGATTTATTTCCCTGATACTCAGGTTCCATTCACATAGATTGATGCTCATGATGTTGATCAGTGGATTGTCTGGTCCAGACTCAGTCTTGTACAGACCGACACCAATATTGCTGGGAATATAGCCAATATAGCTGGAGTATTGCTGGGAATATAGCCAATATAGCTGGAATATTGCTGAGTGCAGCGTTGAACAATAAACCAACCAACCAGCTCAGAATTACATTACATTGCTTATGATGCTCATCACTGGATTGTCTGGTCCAGACTCAATTATGTACAGATCGACACCAATATTGCTGAGAATATAGCCAATATAGCTGGAGTATTGCTGGGAATATAGCCAATATAGCTGGAATATTGCTGAGTGCAGCGTTGAACAATAAACCAACCAACCAGCTCAGAATTACATTACATTGCTTATGATGCTCATCACTGGATTGTCTGGTCCAGACCCTATTATTTACGGACTGCCACCAAATAGCTGAAATATTGCTAAGTGGGTGCTACACAACCAAGCAACTCATGACTGCATTACAAGAGAGTTTGTCTGCATACAAGCCGTGGTTAAAGCACAAAAACACAACACAGATTGGTGTGCAGAAACATCTGTGAATGAGATCTGTAGCGGAATTTTCATGAAGCCATCATGCAAACTACACTTCCCACTGGCATATATATAAAATTCCAATACTGAGTTGTTCAATGAATGGAAATTGAGATTCCCTGAAACACATAGATAACCCAGATTGTGTCAGGTTGATTGTGATGGTGCATGGTGATGTAGAAGACATACACTGCAGCTGCCGGACCATCCACTGCAGACAGATACAGATTGCCCTACCTTGTTGTTATTCTTCCCTAATGGGGACAGAAAGCTGAATGTTTATTTGCCACAAGCATATTTTAGCTCTGATAAATGGCTTCAAGTTAGTGCAGTCATCTCAAGGGACATAATCATGGAATGGAATACTGACTGTACTGATTATTAAACATGTGCATATTGGAGTCGTTTCAGCAGCCCTCAGCTGGTCTGGAATATATTTCTGAACATGTGTGTCTGTAAATACCTTTAACATTGCTGCAATTGTCATGTTTGAGAGGAAAATGACAGTTAGATTTTTCTTGATGGATCTTCGGTTTTGAAAATTCATCCAGCCGAACTGTTGGAAAGCCCAAGTGAGCTGTGATGTATCCGGTCGTTCATTCTTCATCTTCATGGAACAGTGACACAATGAAATTGCAACATGTTTACTACATGCTATGTGTCAACTGCCACACTGGAACCCGTGAAGATCAGGGTTAGAATTGATCTTCAGTAACCCATGCTTGTCGGAAGAGGCGATTAACAGGATCGGGTGGTCAGGCTCGCTGACTTGGTTGACACATGTCATCGTATCCACATTGCATAAATCGTTGCTCATGCTGTTGGTAATTGGATTTTCTGGTTTAGACTCCATTATTTACAGACTGCTACTGTATAGGTGGAATATTGCTGAGTGCGGCGTAAAACTAAATTCACTCACTCACTACAAATTGGAATAATATTTCAATGCAGAATTCTTAATTGTTTGATCGATTGACTGTTGTTTGACGCCGCACTCAGCAATATTCCAGCTATATGGCAGCGGTCTGTAAAATAATCAAGGCTGGACCAGCCAATCCAGTGATCAACATCATGAGCATCATTCTACACAATTGGGATCAGATGGCATGTGTCAACCAAGTCAGCGAGCCTGACCACTGGATCCCGTTATTTGCCTCTTACGACAAGCATGGGTTAAGACCAATTCTAACCCAGAAATCTATGTGCAAAAGAAAAGTGATAAACCGATGAACATACGTGAAATGTTATTTCACTCAGCAATATTCCATCTCTATGGCGGCGGTCTGTAAATAATTGAGTCTGGACCAGACAATCTGGTGATTGAGATCATAAGCATAGATCTATGGAATTCGGATATGAGACATGTGATAACCAAGTCAGCGAGCCTGACCACCCGATCCCGTCAGTCACCTCTTACAACAAGCATGGGTTGCTGAAGACCAATCCTAACCCATTTCTTCATGGGTCAGTGGCACTAATTCAGAGATGCTTACATTCATCTAGCCTCAACACTGATCAAGTTTCCAAATGGCCTAGGTGGGATATCCATGACGAAAATAACGTGTCTCAATTTAATGTGAGATCATAGAAGCATATGCTTCCCCCCCATTTAGTCTAAATACCTTGTAGAATGTTCCATACTTTGCTGGTAAAATGTGTTGTTCTATTAGCTTCTAGATTACAATTGGTCACTTGGAAAACTTGGTCACCATGTAGAGATTTGAATGGACTCAATTAGGGATGAAATGGTATACCGCAGTATTTTAACTTCGGTTCGGTGTACTATAATACAATTCAAAAATGCGTTATTTAATGCGTTATTTAACGTTGTTTTCGTACCGTCATTTTATTAACCTTTTTAACCCGTCATGATATTGCTGGAAATTATTGCAAAAAGCGGCGTAAAGCCATACACACTCACTCACTAACCTTTTTAAACATTTCCTAAAATTTCTGGAAATGGAATCATTTTGTCAAAATCTATGCATTTCTTTGCTAAACGGCCGTCGACTTACAAGACAGTAACTGAAGATACCAGATCAGTAGCTGGGTTCTGTTTCTTATTCAGTTATTTCAAATCATACAGACAATGGAACATCATAAAAAAGTATAAAAGACAACTTTTATCATAAAGACATGTCATCAGCCAAGTACTGACGATGTTTGCTGTGATGCAACACACCGCGTTATAGCACGGGTAAACACTGCCATCCGAAAACGTATGATGTCAGAAAACACTTAATTAAACGATCTCCCTCGATTTCATTTTATTTGATTAAATTTAATCCCATTTTCATTCATTAAAACTGGTTACAGTAACATTGGAAAAAATGTGTGAAATGGCATCACCTCATTCTATACTCTTACCACTTCCGCTTACCATGTTCGTGAGGGTCCACTTCTCTACCGCGATAGCACAAGTTACACATTTTTCTTGGCAATCACAAACTGATTACCGTCTTGTCATCCATGGACCCCTTGACACGTTATTGACTCATTGAAGTCATATTTAACAATTAATTGCCAAAATTTTGTTTTTACGATCAAAATAACACATACTGTGGGAAGTTTATGGTGACTTGTCAAACTGTCTCATACGTAAAATGTTTCTTGACACGTAACCCAAAATGCTGAGCCTATGTTAATTATGTTAAAAGGGTCATTCTCAAAAAAAGGCCAAATTCGTGCTATGAAAAATATGAAAATACAAAGCATCATACTGAATTATCTCATTATTGTTTTGAATGGTCAACACATTAAAAAATGCGGTCATGATAATTTGCACACAGGAAAGTAATAAAATATTTTTAAAATAAACTTTTTTAAAGTATCCACTGAAAAAACCCGTCAGTGGTGTAACAAGCATAAAAGTATTCTTTTTCAAACTTTGATGTCAGATAAGGAATTTTTTCACATTTGTCATTATTTACAAACTTTTTCTATTTTCAAATATAAATTCAATCGTTTCATTATTCTCACATATTTAATTGTAAATTTGGCAAAAAGGGCTTGGTGTGAGAAGAATGTAATGGTAACATATGATATTTTTTTCTGAAATAACTTGTATACTTAAGACTGAACATGTTTTATGTATACAGTGGTATTAAAGCTGTTTTCAGTTATCATAAAATATCAGTCTAACTGTTAAATTATTCTTTTGAAATAATTAAATGTTATCAAATATGCATGTTACACCACTGATATTTTTTTATATCCTGCCTGTTACACCACTGAACTTTCTGCAACTTACTGGAACAGTAAACCAAATCAACAGCCATATGATGCTTTGGATTACTTAATAATCATCATTGGAGAACGGCTTTCCAACATGTGGCATTGGAAAACAAATGATATCAACAGTTAAGATTAAAATGTACAAATTCAAAGAATACTGTGACACCAATGACATGTTGTGTTACACCACTGATTTTTTCTTTACCTCACTCTAAATATAAATCCGAATCAATTGCCTTTAATTGATAATTAACAGATTTAAACAGCTCAACAGCAAATTCTGAACACTCAGATTTTAAAAGGTTTTTAAAAAATACTATACAAAAGCAATAAAATGAACAAATTGTAGTAATATTGTTACACCAATGACATTTTTTGTTACACCACTGATTTTTATTGAATTAACTTCAAAGATAAATTCAAATTAATTGCCTTTAATTGATCACTAACAGAATTGAACAGCTCAATAGCAAATTCTGAACACTCAGATTTTAAAAAGGTTTTTCAAAAATAATGTACAAAAGCAATAAAATGTACATATTGTTGTAATATGGTTACACCAATGACATTTTTGTTACACCACTGATTTTTATTGAATTAACTTCAACGATAAATTCAAATTAATTGCCTTTAATTGATCATGAACAGAATTGAACAGCTCAATAGCAACTTTTGAACACTCAGATTTTAAAAGGTTTTTCAAAAATAATATCAAAAACAATAAAATGAACATATTGTAGTAATACTGTTACACCACTGATTTTTCAGAACTTTATATACTGATATACCAGAACAAATTACCTTCACAGACTTTACATGAGTTAATGGTCATAAAATATACTGGATAAATACAATGCAAAGCAGTTGAGTTTTGTGAACAAGTGACTTAAATGAACATTTTGTCAGTGGTGTAACAAAAACTGTCAGTGGCGTAACATTTTCCCACTGTTACACCACTGACCTATTCCCACTTTTATGAACTTTATAACAATTAATGCTCCCTAACCACAGACCACCTGGCATAAATGTTGATGTTTTAGCAACTTTGATCTACTTTAAATAAACATTGTTATGAAAAAGAACACATGAATAAGAAATCAACGTTACACCACTGACTCGATAAAAAGTTATGATATAAAGTAGACTCACCAACTGCATTAAACTTCAACATCAAAATAAAATTTGGCCTCCACAAAACTTCTGCCACGAGAAGAAAGTCATCAGCAAAGGGACCATTTAGTTTTTCATATTTTTTATATTCGTTACACCACTGACTGTGACATTTTGGGACAGTCATTGTTTTCATTGTAATTATGTGATTTTCATTTTGTTTTCAATATTTCATGCAGAAATGTGTTTTTAATATTGGTGTTTCATTCTAAATCTTTAAAAAATATGTATAAATACCCTGGAATTTAAACTTTATGGTACTGCAAAGTAATGTCGCTGTCCACTGACAGTGGTTTTTCTTTCAAAATGATGATAAAAACCCAATTTTGTCCCCAAAATAACAAACAGGTACACCATTTTACATCATTATGAGGAACAAAATACATTTTTCTTTCATAATATGATTTTTGAAAAAAAATTGAAACTATTTTCAGAGCAAAGTGTTACTGACCAAAAATTGGGCAAATTTTGCGAATGACCCAAATATGTTTGTAGAAAACATGCATTATACTAATACGATAGCAATATATATTATGTCTGTTAAAGTTACTGCTTGAGATATGAATTATTCTGCTAATGGGAATAGAAATTCTTTGATGTTATATTTTTGGATCGTTTTTAAGAGAATCACTGGTAGATTGGAGCGAAATATGTGTA